CTCCGCGCTGTTGTCGCGCTGTGATGACGTCAGGTACGCGGTTTTGTCGAGCGCCCTTTAGTCGAACGCGGTTTTGTGGTGGAACCCATGCACGAAGGCCAGCTGATCATCATACATGCATGTGTGCCAAAACCTGGAAGAGGAATGTGTGCCGCCCGGCATGCCAGGTGACATGGCTCCACATGCCACTTCGGGCACGCATGTCATAGGTTCGCCATCACACTACAGAGTCTATTCTATACATTATATAGATAATTCTATAGAAATTATTTTTATTGGTAGACTTTAATACTCCCCTACAAGGTTTTTAAGTTATTATGCTGGAAAATTCCATTTTTTTTTCAAACTAAATTGAACTTACAGAAAGGAAAATTCTATAGCTTTGCCTCCGCACTTAACAAATATTAAATCATATTTATGTTCATTTGAAAATAAACATTTTACATTGTATTTAACAACTGTGCAAACTTTGAGATTTCATACCTGGTAGAAAGGGTACAGTTGTTCAATAATACTACTGTGCTGACAAAATCTTTTCCATCTTAGCATATGTAAGTATTTGCTTTGGACTAACTGAGGGATCCTGTCGATATAAAACTTTGTAAAAAAAATAAGAGATATTTTACAGATTAAAATTACAGTTTTACTTCTGAAAAAACTATGCATCATAAATAACTTCCTTGGAATATCATTCACATACACATTGGCTCTTTGTCCACATCAAACTAAAAAAAAATCCAATACAAAATATAGTAGTATAGCCTTTATTGTCATCATATATACAATGATATTGGAAATATGGGCAATCAGAGGCATAACTTTGAGGAATTTAGAGACTGAGAAGCCATAATATGCCAGGATTTTTTTGGCGGGAAATTTAGGGTCAAAAAACCCCTTCAAACGTGAAAAAGCAAACATTACCTGATACAACAACAAGGATAAGCTTTCTGGTGTATATTCCCTTTTTAGACAGCTATCTAGCTCCCTCTTCAGGACATCAGTCTGAATTACAAGAGGCTTTGCCTCTGCAACCTGACAAAAATCAACAACAGCGTAAAATTATTCAGCAGTATTGAATATAGGGTATGTTTTATAGTATTGTGGGATCTGTTAAAATCGTAGAAAATGCTGTTTAGTAGCGATCAGAACATTCTAAGACAATTTTGTTATTCAATAAAATAATTACAAAAAATCAGAAATAAGCTTCTCCAGTTTGAATAGGTTTAACAACAGGCAAAAGAAATAAGAGGTATGACTTTTGGATTATGTTGTGATGTTTTTTTTTATAGTGATGCATTTATTATTTACCTGTAAACATTTTTTCAGGGTCCACTCCCTTTCTCTTCTGAAATAATCAATGTCTTTTGGAAGGGGCACAGAACTATGAAACATGATGAAATATTATTGTAGCGTAGACCAAAGCAGAATTAGCAGTAAAACATACGGTATATGAAATGATTTAACAGCTGCCAAATATATAGAATGAATTTAACAATAATCACATGAAAAGTCAAGGATTTCATTCCACTTGTACCACCAATATCCACAGAATGAGACTTTCAAGTCAATATTTATTCCCACCTACTCTTTTTAAATATATTATTATTTCCAACTACTGGAACTATTCTGCTAAAATTAAAAAGCTAGTTCACCTTTGCCAGACCTCATTATTCCCACTCAGTGGAAGGGCTTGGGATACAGATTAATTCATCTTATTAATCACAAATATTAGAATACTAATTGAACAAATGGGTAGCAATTGATGTGGAAAATTGATTATTTGAGAAAGTTAACAACTGTATAACTGCACATTTTGAATAGAACATCACTTTCAGTAGAATGTAGTCAAAACCAGAGATGAGCATGCTAAGGCCCTAATTCCAAACTGATGCCATGAAATTCTCTAAAGGGGGTCACACAGTAGTAAATACCTCCATGAATTGTGAGAATGAAATGAAAAAAGGTTGGCAAGGGATTACACTGTGGGATAAATGTCCCAAAGGTGCTTTTTCAAGAGGCAATTGGACTTTCTGGTTTTTCTTTGAAGACATTTCACTTGTCATCCAAGAAACTTCTTCAGCTGATGAAAAGTGAAACGTTTTAAAAAAAACAACAACCAGAAAGTCCAGTTGCCTCATGAAAAAGCACCTTTGAGACAACCATGACCAGAGAATCTCCATCAGCTCTGTGTTAGATGATCCTAAGTATTTTCTTGCTAATGTGTGAACTTAAGGATATGGTATAATAGTTTGCAAACATTGTTATGCCTCCTTTCGTTAGTATTGGTATACAGTCTGTTGGTCAGTATGTAATTCTTCAGATTTTCTGGCATAATTTTCATAGAACATTTACTGATTCTTCTTCTGTTGCTTCCCATATTCCTATAGCCATTCCATCAATTTGGTACGCTTCAAATTTGGAAACAACCAGATGTGCTGATCTAATTTAATCTTCTATTGCAGAAGTTCTTCTAAAAAGAGAATAACTAAGATAAGATGCATACTACACCTTAACTGAACTACCATATACTCCTTCCATCTTTGTTTGATGTTCTATGAGTCAACTAATGCAGCAACTTTGCCCTGCTATTAATCTCACTTAATCTTTTATGCCAGGAATTTCTGGGTTATCTCTAAAGGCAACACCATAAACAAGATGCAGTAATCTAATGAATTGGAGATCAGTATGTGAGTCACTGATATCACAACAGTAATTCACTCCTGACATATTGTTCTATAAGTAGATAAACATTGGGTTGGACAGCCTAAAGAATATTGCTTTAAGGGTACATAAGATGTGTTGAAATTATTAAAATCAAATATGCTGCAGAGAAATATACAATTGACTGGTATCTATCATTGTTCAGCTCTTCTTTCTGAAATTAAGCCTATATTTATAATGTGAATTTTTTATTTGTTTCTACTTATATTGCCACCCATCTCAAATTCATTATTCTAATAATAATTAAAAACAAATGTAAAAAAACCCTTAAAGGTAGTATTGACAGTCATTGGTGCTTTTTCTTCTTTTCTTCAGGGCTGATCCCAGTAGATGTTGATTGGGGGGGGGGGATTTCAGTCCTTCAAGGTAGTTCAGACAAAAAGGGCTAACTATGAGTATTAATTTTACCTTTTGTTGTAAGGTTAGGGTAACAGAATCTTGAAAATCTGAAAAGACATTTCTCTCCCCCTTTTCTTTACAGTCCAACAAGCCAAGGTGGGTCACTTCTGAGACATTTTCAAGGTCCCCATTCCTTCTGTGGGCTCAGCTATCTCTTATCTGACCATCACCTAAGTAGGCTGCAGCTCTTCCTCTTCCTCCTGTCTCTCAAGGACATTGTGACAGATCATAACAGCTGTCAAGAACAAGGATAGATGTATTGCCTCCATCCTGCTCTTATCTAGGTCATCTAAAACAGTGGTCTCCAACCTTGGCAACTTTAAGACCTGTGGACTTCAACTCCCAGAGTTCCTCAGCCAGCAAAGCTGGCTGAGGAACTCTGGGAGTTGAAGTCCACAAGTCTTAAAGTTGCCAAGGTTGGAGACCACTGATCTAAAAGCACAATACATGCTTTATGGTCCCATTCCTGAATCCTGAATGAAAGGGATCCAAATAGTCCATTTTCACCAGAGTTTTCTGGAGCTGCTGTGCACAACTACCTTTTCTATAACCTCCTCTGAAGAAATTTGTCTAACATCATTGGGTCTACTGATGCCTTAATGAGGACAGGTGACCAAGGTAACAATCAGGAGAATCCTGTTCACTTCATCAATAGGGCCAACCTCCTCCCAGGTAACTGAGCAAGACTGAACCCAACATAGGACTTGTTACAAGGCTAAAGTCCAACCTAGAGCAAACTGACTTTATTCCACAGATGCCCAATACATTCCTCCCAATGATTTTACGGGAAGACCTTTGAGCAACTTTGCCAAGAATGGGAAGGAGCTGCATTGGAGCAAAGCTATGTGGCCCTTTACGAAACAGCTATGGTCCTAAATAAGAAATGATGTTTTTACCAATGTGGAGTTCCCTGTAAGATCCCATTTCCTTCAATTTCTGTCTTCAGTTCAGTCAGCTGCACAGCTAATGCTTTCTCTACCTGTTGGACTCTCTCAGTAGAAGAGATCTTATAAATGTCATCCATTTGGTCTTGTAACATAAAGAGAAAATGTAGATAAACTTATATTCAATTTTCAACAATACAGTTTCATAACAAGTAGTTTAGAAGTGCATAAATATAATGCACACAAACCAAAGAAATAAATTATAATGTATGTTTCATTTCTTGTTTCAGGACAAAAGAACCAGAAGTGTAACTACCTTTTCATGTTAACTGACCAGTTTAGGTATTAAAACAATACATGCCACAAAAGTAAAAAGGCCAGTTACTTAAACAATTTAGTGACATTGCTTTTATTTGCATTGTTAATTGCAACAGAACAATTTCAAGCTGCAAATGCATACTACCTGTTGCATTCTATTACTTGAAACTGAGTTGGCATTTCGAAAGACCAAATGATCATTTGGATTAGCTGTGTCTGAACCTGAAAGCAAGTTCTGCATATCTTCTAGCTGTGATTCAAGCTTCTTTTATGTCACTAGTAGGAAAGAGAAGGTGATCTGCAAATTATCCTTTAGTTTTTTCCTAGCTCACTTATTCAAAGCATGTACACCCCAATACCCAAAAATTGGTTATTGGTTGATGGTACTAACTACTAAAACATCACTCTGGTTTATTCTGACCAAGCTGAAAGCTAATTACTACCTCTATCAGTGTAAGGTACTTATTTGTTAAATTTCTGCATCCCTCCCAATTATTCTGGGCAGCTTTACAGAATGAAAAAAAGACAAATAATATCCATAAAACAGCAACTATTCAGAGATCAATAATATCTATTATATAGTGTTTACACAAACACAGATAAGGTATTTTCGTTCATATACTAACTGGGTTCACACATCATTATTACTGGTTTTATAATGGCCCACTGAATGAAGCATAATTTAGCAAGATTGTGCAAATTATAATCCATAACATATGTCTTATAAATTACAATTTCACACATTATGGTAAGACCAAACCAAATGCAATCAATTATGATATATGAACTAGATTCTTGATCATTCTCAGTACAGCCAAATTTGGCCTCATTAATATTGGATCCACATCAGCAGACTTTATAGCATTATAAAGTGCTATAACATTATAGCACAAAAGAACTTTGAAAGGAAAGAAATATACATATTCCTGGCCTAGTTACCCAAACCATTATAAACTTTGACAGGCCTACAAATTTATTTTAGCAGTTAAAGGATAGTTTGTTAGGTACTGAGGCTGTTATATGTTGCCTGTCTGGAATACATCAGAGATTCCTTGCTTAGTATTAGTACAGAATATTTCATAAAGGCCAAAAAATTGACTTAATATATCTATTGCCTCAAATGTCAATTCCATGACAAATTCTGTCCTCTGTTTGTTCTTACTTTGGTGGCAATTATTTAATTTATATGTAAGCTTTCTTTCAAGAAACTCAGGGTGTAATACATCATTTTCTTTCTCTCCATTTTCTGCCCTCAAAATCAGATTGTGAGATAGCTAAAAGCATAGTGATTGGTGCAAGGCAATGTAATAAGGTTAATGACTGAAAGGAATTTGAAACAAGTCACGTCCAACACTGTAATTAATGTAGAACAGTGAGTGCATTTTTCTAGCACTGCTTCACATCTTTGGCTCATTCTGGTGAGTTGAAACATAAGTCTTTTAAAATGTTTATTTTTTATTATTTTATCCTGACATTTTATATATAATTCAAGGCAGCAAGAACATAACTAATCACCAGTATCAAATCAAATCACATCTTTATGGTCATAGAACAGTATAATCATTTGTATCAAAGATTTTGATAATTACGTAGAATTGTCCATTTCTCCTTTGAGCATGACTCTATAGTCCCAGTTCTTAACTTAGTGTAGCTTTTATATAGAAACTAACTCTCAATGTGATTTGGGTAGCACAATTTCTATCAGAAAAAATCATATGGGTTCATTATATAAGCTGCAGCTGAACCCACACATAATTTCCTATTGATTTACGGAAAAACACATCCTTTTTCCTGACTTGTTGCCCAAAGCCACAAAACAAATCAAATTTGCAATGCAATTTCTTTAGAAAAAGTACTCCATCTAATTAATATATAAATTAAAACTGTGAGGGATTTAAAATTTGTCTTAAGCAAGTCTCTTAAATCAGAGCGATTGCTTTTGCCAAAATATAGAAATGCCTTAACAAAACCATTTTCCCCCAATATTTTATGAAACTTGTTTTTTTTCTGTAAGCAACAAGTCTATTGTATAACTAATGCTTACAGGGTTTTCAAATGCCAGATCACAATTTCAAAAATAATCCATGGCCAGTTGATATCTTTGCCCCTGAAAAAGCCACAGGCATGATTTAGCTAACTTAAGCCGATTTAGGTAATGAGATTAAGAATACCAGCAGCCCATATATAAGGTTTCAGAATAGACATAATTAATACTAGAAAGCATGTCTGTTTCCCTAAAAGCAAACAAAATAGAAATGACCTTCAATATAATGGGAGAGAAGGGGAGGTAGGGAGAAAAGGAGGAAATCTGTCAGAATTTCTTCTCCAATTATCTTAATTTTTGAAGCATTTAAATGAGAATTCTAAAAACAGCATTTAACCTCCTTCCAGGAAACCATTTTTTTAAAAAAATCTTTAAGAGCTGTAGTTGTTTCTTCAACAGAGCAAGACTTGATTCTGTGTATCATCTGAGGTCCAGTACTTTTCTTCTTTGAAGGGCTTCCATATGCAGTTATTTTAGCATAAATTCACAAGCAAATGTACTTTCTGGGACAAATAAAATTAATTTGCTATTACTTTTGCTCTCTGTCTTGGAACAAATAGTTTAAGAGAATACGATACCTGGTCTCAATAGAAAGGTCACAGCTTCACAAGCACAGAAGGTAAACAGCTTCTAGCAAAGCAAAGAGCTCAGTTGCGTTATTAGAAACAATATCAGCAAACATCTCCCACAGGTTCTATAGCTAGTGTGATCAAAACTAAAAATGCAATCGAGAGGTATGTCAGAGTGGCTGGGTAGGCTGTGTGGTAACCGTAACAACATCTATACACAAAAGCTGAAGGATGAAAAAATAACTTCCTGGGCTCAGTTTCATCGATGGCATGCTGATTTATTTTAATCCAAAAATGACCAGATAAATAAATGGGGCTCTTCTGCCTAAGAGGGAGAACATATTTTGCCATGTGCTAGAGACGGTTAAAACCATGTGAAAGGTTAATATGCCTGAATGAGACGGCAGGTGCCCAGAATATTTGTATAGACAGTCCTGTTTGGAAGTTAAGGCAGATATCACAAATGAAGCCCTTTTGAAACACTGATTTAAACAACTGCACATCCACACCATCTCCATACATTCATTTATTAAGAGCTGCTTTGTTATCAGGTGTTAAAACAATAAGAGTTGAATATAATAACCATGAGATGCATTCAACTGGTTTCCTTCCCCTGACCATTCTGTTAGAGCACTTAAAATTCTTCTCTCTGAAGTGTTCAGAGATGAAGTGGTCAATTCTTGGGGTGCTAAAAAAGGGGAGAATTCCCTGTGAACCCTCCAAATCTCCTTGCACCTGATAAATTTGGGTTTTAGTATTTATATTTGGCAGTATCAGGGTTCTTTACTCTGACAAAGATTTCACATAGAGTGATGGGTATGCCTTAGTATGCCCATGTAACACATCTGCTTTGTTAACTACGGTAGCAGAAGAGCATAATGGGTGCATAACAATACTAGTTAGACAAGCAAGCATAGAGATTCAACCTAGACCTTTACTGTGGTGTTTTTTTAAGACTCTGAAATTTATTGGTTTACTGAAAAACAGTCTATAAATATTTTATAGAAATAAAACAATGAACCACTAGGTATTTTATAAATCAATCCAGATGCAAAATAATACTTTTTGTTCAAAGTCTCTCATGAAAGTAAGGAAAGGCAAATAATTTGACTACACAGAGTGATGAGTCCTTTAATTAAAAATAGTGTACAAGCTTTGTTAAAATAATCAATTTTTAAAAGCCAGTACAGAAAATGGAATTTATTTACCTCACATCTTATTTTCGGAATTAGTGGGTACACTATTAAGGCAAACCAAACGTATAAAATCAAATCTCAGCAGGTAGTGATGTATGAAATCAGACGTGGAAGCTATGATTCCCATACAATGTCATCTTTCTTCAATACTGATTGAAGCTTCTGAGCACTTTTTAATAGCCGAAGGGAATTTGTGGTTTTATTTGTGGAACAGATACTTGGAGCGATTACAGTCTCTTTGCTTCCTTTTAATTCATTAGGATTTGATGTTGAATATGCTGTCTCTCTCTTCAGCTTCTGAGCTCTTTGCTTTAGTTTATAAACCTAAATAAAAGAAAAAGTGTACAATAATTCTGATATGCAAAGATAGACTCACTTTGCTTCAGCAAGGCAAAGCTAGGAATTTCTTTTTAGCACCAGCTTAGATACATTTATATATGATACAGGAAGGTAAGAAAAAGCATTATTAAATATTTTTTTAATTACAATTTTGGAATATGGATATAATGTTTTAAGTGCAAGGATTTAAATGGGTAATGTTTTTTAGAGCTGTATTTGAATAAATAAAGTAATACATGACGGTTGATTTAACATTTCAGTGGCATGATGGTGCATATTATTCAGCAAAGCAACGATATATGTCACCATTTGTGTAGATGTCTATCTTTAGTCCTTTCAGGCACATTCATAATTGTCTCAACTGTATGAAATGTCATACAATTTATTCTCAATTTTCCCCCATTCCCCAAGCATCACAGTGTTAAGCATTGGCTGTCTAACAAGACACATTCTAACTAGTCACATCTCCTGATTTTAGAACTGTCTCTTACATGATCCTGGTGCTTTTTCAGTTTTGAAATCTGTTCTCCTTTAATTTCCATCTGCTTCACGAGACAATCCAATTCACGTTCTAGGTCTTCCCGAATGTCCTGATTTTGGCTTTCCTTTATCTGCTTTGATAGTTCTTGATGTTCACTGTGGAAGACAAATTCTATCAGTTGTTTAAACACAATTTAGCGTTTTTCTACTCTACATCTACGTTTTGTTTGTTCATCCCTGTAGGTTTCCGTATTACTTGTACAGCAAGAGTCAGAAAATAATGAGGCTGTTAAGCAAATTGCTGCAGTTGTTAAATGAATCACAGTCGTTAAGCCAAATCTAAACCATTGATTTTGCTTGACAGGAATCAGCTGGGAAAGTTGCATATAGCAATTACATGACCCTGGGAAACTGCAATCATTATAAATACATGCCAGTTGCCAAGCACATTCATTTTGATCATGTGACCATGGGGATGCAGTAATGGTTGTAAGCAAGAAGATCGGTTGTACATCATTTTTTTCAGTGCCATTGTGACTTTGAAACAGTCACTAAACAGATGGTTGTAAGTGCAGGACTACCGGAATGAGGATATTACTTGAGCAGAGTAGCTCCAAATTTCAAGTTTTGTATAGATTAATTGGGCATGAGAAATAAATGCAGCCAATAAGTGTCGCCGCATGAAGCCAGATGGTACTGGAGAAGCAGCAGAATGAAAGAGATGGAATATTCGCAGTTGAGACTAGACAGATGTTATTTGGGCATGCAATTGAGCACCCTACTAGGAATGTAAAT